CACTCAAAACGCCAGCCTTCTCCTCCGCTCCCACCTATAGCAATGCCCGATCACACGCACACACCTATAGTCCTATACTCGCACATGCACACCGGCGAGCTTTGAAAGTTGGCAAGATCGCTAAATCCTCTTTGATCAGCCTCGAGATCTCTAGCGAGCGATTAGGTCGACACCTCCACGTTCTGGTGCATGTCGTGGGCGCGAGCCGGGGAGGGTATAGTGGTGGTGCAGTACAACCAAAAGAAAAGGCGCCTACTGTTGGCGTTAAACATCTCATCTGGTGGCACCCCTTCAAAGGAGCTCAGGGACAAGATGCACGATTTATATTGTTCATGAGCTTTGGCATATGCTTAAAGGTCTCTTTCACCTACAATAACATCAACCTCTACCACGCCACGCCACGCCACTTGACATTACAAATCCGGACGCCACGGACTCCACAAAAAAGCTTGGGTACACACACATGGAGCCAGCTAAGTTAACCGAGGTCGTTAATTATGAAATCGCATGTGTTGCCCATGCATGCATCCATGCATGCATGGTGCTACTGAATTCCATGTAGTGTGATGCAAGCAAGGCGGTAATTTACCTCCCCGTCCCAGAGTTATTTGGTGGATATTAACAAGAAGAAATCATTTTCTTCATGCTGTGGGTGACGCAATAGGTCTAGTTTTGCTGGTGATGCTGCTCAGGTTTTCGCCCCATAGCATCCGTTTCGACGGTGAGCGGATGTAGTGGGTTTACTGGCAGTGTGCTTGAACTTGCTTTTCCTATTATAATTGTGTGATCATTCTGCGAATGCTGAAGCAATGATTCTGCGAGATTTATGGATATACAAGCATATAGAATGGCATGGGGCTGGGGGCTAGCTAGCGGCGCGCTCCCCAGTCGACGGCGTGGTACGGCTGAATTTTTGGAGGGGCTAAACAAGTGCTCATTATGCGCCCCGTTAAGGCTACAGCCTAGCTTTGAAATCTGCTACTACCTCCGTTTCAGTTTACAAGTCCTACGCGTAAACCTAGATTGACAATTTTATCGCCCTAATATGAACTATATAACACAAAAATTATATCTTTTAAAAGTAGAAACTCCGAAGTTTATGTTGGTATATTTTTTCTAATATATGACTTGTATTAGGTTAGTCAAATTGACGACTTAAGGGTACGCGCATGCCCTGTAAACTGAGAGAGAGGTAGTAGGAAAATCCCGAGCCGCATTCTCATGGGGAAGGCCCATTAAACAAGCGGGAGCGCGTGGGAGATGGTTGAAAGATAATCTTGCGCCTAGTGGACATCTATCCCCAGCAACATAAATAAAACAGACGGGCTCGGCTTAGGCTGAGCCCAGCAGCTGCAGCAGGACTGGGACTGGTAGTAGTGGAGGGTGCCTTTAATTTATTTGCCCATGTGTGTGTGTCCATCAAATCAAATACCCCAGCAGTGCGGCTACTAGTGCATTGGACAGTGATGATTCAGCATCATATATACTCCTTAATTTACGTTGTAGATTAATTAACTAATCCATGAGAAATCATCATGCAACGTATCATACTATACTACTAGTAAGTGATGAGCGGATTAAAGGGGAAGATTCATCATGTATAAAGGACACGTGTTGACTGTAGATTGTTTGCTCCTCGTAGCTACCAAAGATATGATGCGTTCAACCGTCCACGTGTACGCCGCTGATTCGCGGGAGGAGCAAATAAGGCATCCCTAGATAAGGGAGTGAGTGAGGGAGTGGCCTAGGCCTTGCTCCCGTTGGATGGAAGGAGAGAAAGGAGGAGAAGGAACACAACAAATTGTACGTGCCCATCTTTACGTCAAATATATCCATAACGCCAAGGCACTAGTAGCCAACATAGCTACTAGCAGCGAACCATAACCCATGCCCATACAGAGAACAGAGAAATCATTAAAGGAAAAAAGCAAGGCCCTCCTAACGCATCATAGGCTCCATTAGATTAGATCTCTGGTTTATCCATCCTCACTACTACTACCCTAATCTCCCTCCTTGGTCTTTGTTAGGCTCCATTAGTCTTTAGCAGTGGTTGCGACGGTGGTTGGGTGGCGAGTATGCGTCCGCCCGCCCATGGCACCACATCCACGGCTTAAAGCTCTCCCTCGGTGTGTGCTAGTGGAGGGGGGATGGGGCCTTGCCGGCAATCATTGGTCTACTCATTGATTACTTGCGCTCAGAACTTTCGTGCACTCATCATGATCAGAACAACATGCACGCACTCCGAGCTCGCCGCTCTGCTCTGCGAGCTTTCTCTCGCTTCCGTCTCCGAGGACAAAAGGCCGAGTGAAATATGGAATGTAGGCCGCTGCACGGAGTTCTAAAATTCTCTTTACAAATCCGCGCCAATATCAGTGGCCCACTTGGAGGACTACTTTTCTGGAAAAATAGAAGGAAAAACAGTTTTAATGGAGTTCTTACTAGTAGCAAGTGTGAGCATAGCAAGTGTGGGAGAAAAGGTAGGGGGTGATGCGTCCATGATCCATCCATCTGTTGGTGCGATTTGCACGTCTTTTCCTCTGGAAGGTGTTTGAACAAAATCGGGACGTGGATTGCGCTGCCTGTACCAGCTACAGCTACTGTAATTAGGAAATCGTAAAGAGAAAGATGCATGGTACTGTACGTACTAGCAAAAATTGTATCTTTTTTCTTCACAAAGGCATCATTCACCCTGTAAAGGGCGCAGGGGGGAGGGTGATGCTCGCTCTAAAGGAGGCGGGCCGGGGAAAGATGGGCAAAAAAATAAAAGAGGGCCGAGGCGCAAGCAGAGGGAATTAACAGGAGAGGAAGTAAACTAGAGAATCGAAAGGAAAAGATGAAAAGAAGAAGAAGAAGGAAAAAAGAAACCAACACCTTGTCTGATTACAAGTCATCCTCGGTGATGCTCTCCAGGTGCGGCCGCCACACGGCCACGCGCCCGCGCCGCCGGTCCCTGGCCGTCGACGCCTTCTCCTTCATGATCTCCGACAGGTACCTCTCGTTCGCCAGCAGCCGCTCCTTCTCGCCCCCCGCGCTCTGCAGGGACGCCGCTGCCGCGTTGTTGCCGCCGCCGGCGGCGGCCTCGGCGGACTCCTTCCTCCTCCGCCGCCTCCTCGCCGCGGGCGCAGGCGCGGCCGCGGGTGGAGCGGGCGCGGGCGCCTTGGGCTTGGCGGCGGGCTTGTCCGGCGCCGGGGCCATGACCGGCATGAGGAAGTAGATCTTGCCCTTCTGCAGCTCGGCATTGGGCGGCAGGATGACGGGCTTCTGCACGACGATACCGGCGCCGCCGTCGGCGGGGCAGGTGGAGGGCGGCTTCCGGAGGACGTGCTTGGGGTAGGCCTTCATGATCTCGCCGGCGAGCACGGGCCCGCTGATCTCCTCCACCCGGCCGTTGGAGTGCACGATGCGCACCACGTCCAGGGCGCCGCACGGCAGGATGCATGCGATGCAGCACCGGATGGTCTCCATGACTAGCTCTCACTCAACTGAGCCGATCGACGACCGGTCGGTCAGCCTCCACCCCTCTCCCGGACCGACCCTTGCTCTTCCGCTATCCCTATCTATCCCCGCCGCCCCCGGTCGGCCGCTACGCCGAGCTGGCGAGAGCTGCTAGCTCATAAGGCGGCCAGCTACGGTGGGAGGAGCTGGGTGATGTGCACGCTACACCGACGAGCGAGCGAGGGAGCTGGGGGAGAACCTCACCTGGTCTCGGGTCCTTTTGGTGCGGGCATGTTCGAGCTTTTTATATAGGGGTACCTTGGCAGGATCCTGGCCGGGCTCCGCTGTAGGGATACTATATAGACGACTCTGTATTTGTGTACAATGGCGTATGGGGCAACTGGTTGTGTTCTTTCTGCTGTGTCTGCGCGGCCTAGCTCCTGATCACTCTCTGATTCCTGCCACTCACCAGTCAACAGTGCTACGACTCACTTGCTGACTTAATTTGCAGAGCGAGTTTCAAGAAGAATTAGGATTGAGCGTGTCTCTACTCATTCTAGCTTTTTTACATTTCTCTTATCGTTTTGGCTTTTGGGAGGGGCCCCGTGCCTAAATCATTGCCACTCCTCAATCGTGTACTTTGGTTAAGGCTGGTTCTCATCTCATGGGCTCATCATGCCAATGCCATGCGAGAGTGGAAGGCTCTCTGTAAAAAATCAAGCTTGGTCCATCCAAACGATCGGGGTGCGCGCGTGTGGCACCGTAGTACATGCGGTGATTTCAATAGGCAAAGAAGGCACGTAGTACGTGCGGTGATTTGAGGGCTGGGCATGCATGGACCGCATGCCGCACGCTAGCTGCCGCCGTCACTGTTGGCATGATTGAAGGCCGCTTGATATGTTTCTCATTTAGAGACCCGTAGTGGACAAATGCGCATTCAATTAGGGGACAAATACCATCGGAGAAGGAACCGTGTCTCGCACCCATGCCAATACGCATCTCAACGAATTCAATTTAACCAAAAACGAAAGCTCTCGCTTGATCGCGTCTAACAGTTTTCTTTTTATACACCAGAGGGTTGACAAATGCCGCATGATGTGCCTTGTACATCCTTCGTCCTAAAATAAATGTCTCGATTTCAGTATAACCTTAATATAAAATTACATTAAAATTAAGACACTGACGGAGCACACAGTCCCCCCGGTTTCCCTCGCACTGACGGAGCTACGGGCGGAGGCGACCCGTCGCGTCCCCACGATGAGTATCTGCCCGAACCTCTCACATCATTACAGCGAGAGGAGCTTCGCCGTCGGAACATGGACGCGCTCCACACTCCTATTGTCGGAGAAACCCCCGAGGCCCGGGCCTTGGAGGACGCGTGCTTGGCTAACCTGGCCGAGCGCACTCGACTGGAGAATCTCCAGCGGACACTCGACGAGCAAGCGCGTCAGCGGGCTCCCGAGTCCAGTCGACGTCAGCAAGCTCCCAAGTCCAGTCGGCGTCAGCTCTTCCCGCCGCCGCAGGTATACCGAACCCCAGTTAAGAATTTGGCCGTTACGACCCGTATAGCAGAATCAATTCAGCCCTCCCAATCGGAGGCGGGCAGAGGCTTGTTGCAGATCAGAGCACTGCTCCGGGCGGCGGGAAAACAGAATTCTGCTGTCTCTCAGTCGCGGAACAGGATCCACAGTCGATCTGTCGCAACAGATACAGTCGAGTTGGCTCACAGCCCGAGGTCGCCCCCGAGGCGTGGGGGACGTGGTGACCGGCGTGACCAGTACAGGAGGAATGAGCAGTATGATCACCGATTCGACCGTGATGATCAACGTCGAGTGCCAACCCCTCCCCCGAGGAGTGGGTCATGTGCGCCTCGACGGCAAGACGACAGACGCCCTCATAGTGTCGGGCAGAGGATTCTAGTCGACCCCAGGGACCCAGGCTTTGACGCGAGGTCTGTCCTTGTTCAGGGCTTGGTTGACAGGAACAGGGCTCATTGGGAAGGCCAGAACAGAGATGCGCCCGCCAGCAGCAGAGCGCGTGTTTCAGGGCCAGAGTGTTTCAGTCGAGCCATCAGAGCCGCAGTGATTCCTTCCAATTTCAGGCTGGCGACTGGAATCAGCAAGTTCACCGGTGAATCTAAGCCTGACACCTGGCTCGAAGATTACTGAGTGGCTGTACAGATTGGCGGTGGCAATGATGAGGTGACCATGAAGCATTTGCCTCTCATGTTAGAGGGCTCGGCCAGAGCGTGGCTAAATCAGTTAGCACCCAGCAGCATTTACACCTGGGAAGACCTCTCCCGAGTGTTTATCACGACTTTTGAAGGAACATGCAAGCGACCTGCAGGCCTTACAGAGTTGCGGTCTTGCGTGCAGAAGCCGAATGAAACTCTGAGGGAATACATCCAGAGGTGGATCACGCTGCATCACTCGGTTGAGAATGTGCCAGACCATCAAGCAGTTTGTGCCTTCAAGGAAGGTGTTAAATACAGAGAATTGAATCTGAAGTTCGGTCGAACTGGAGAGATGTCTCTGAATCGGATGATGGAGATCGCCACCAAGTACGCTAATGGTGAAGACGAAGACCGACTCCGAAGCGGCAAGCTCAAAGCAGTTGCCCAAGAAACTGGAGGAAACTCCACTCGGAAATAGAAGCGGAAGGCCGAGCCAGCTGCTCCCGGGGAGGCCCTGGCCGTTGCACAGGGAAACTTCAAGGGGAAACCCAAGGGCACCTGGAAGCCCAAGAAGGTCAAAGATCAAGATGGAAATGATGTTTTGGATATGCCATGCCACATCCACACCAAGAAGGATGAAGAGGGTAATTTTATTTACCCAAAGCATACCACTCGACAGTGCCGGCTCCTGATCCAACAGTTCCAAGGAAAGCAGTCCAAGGATAAGGAAAAAGAGTCGGACAGAGTCGAGGACAAAGAAGACAGTGACGATGGATACCCCCAGATCAATTCCACCCTGATGATTTTTGCTGATGTTGAGAGCAAGAGTCGACTGAAAGTCATTAACCGTGAGGTGAACATGGTTGCCCCGGCAACACCCAATTACCTGAAGTGGTCGCAGACTGCCATCACATTCGACCAGTCAGATCACCCGACGCACATTGCCACCCCTGGAAGGCAAGCTTTGGTGGTCGACCCAGTTGTCGAAGGCACTCGACTGACCAAAGTATTGATGGACGGCGGCAGTGGCCTGAACATACTGTACTCTGAGACTTTGAAAGGGATGGGCATTCCGATGTCCAGACTTAGTACCAGCAACATGAGTTTCCACGGAGTCATCCCTGGGAAGAAAGCCCAATCACTCGGCCAGATCGCTCTTGATGTGGTTTTCGGTGATTCAAAGAATTACCGCAAGGAAAATTTGACATTCAAGGTTGTGGACTTCCAAAGTGCTTATCACGCCATTTTGGGCAGGCCAGCTTACGCACGCTTCATGGCCCGACCATGTTACGTGTATCTCAAACTGAAGATGCCTGGCCTCAAAGGGGTAATCACTGTTACAGGCAATCGGAAGAAGGCAGAAGAGTGCTTTCAGAAAGGCTCAAAGATTGCAGATGCTCATATGGCAGTGGTCGAGCTGCAAGAGTACCAAAAGACTGCCGATCCAAGTGAATTGCTACAGGCCAAGAAGCCTGCTTTAGAGTCAGCTTTTCAGTCGACCGGTGAAACAAAGACGGCTCACATTCACCCGACCGACCCCGACGCCGCTCTGACTCACATCTCGACGACGCTCGACTCCAAATAGGGAGAAGCGCTCATCCAGTTCCTCCGTGAGAACTGGGACGTCTTCGCATGGAAGCCTTCTGACATGCCTGGAGTTCCCAGGGGGCTGGCTAAGCACCGTCTGCGAGTTGACCCGAAGTTCAAGCCTGTGAAAGAACATCTTCGACGGTCCACCGTCCAGGAGAGGAAAGCCATTGGCGAGGAGGTGGCTCGACTCTTAGCAGCGGAGTTCATCCGAGAGATTTACCACTCCGAGTGGCTCGCCAATGTCGTCATGGTCCCCAAAAAGGACAAGTCACTTCGCATGTGCATTGATTTCAAACATATCAATCGGGCCTGCCCGAAAGATCATTTCCCTCTCTCCCGCATCGACCAGATAGTAGACTCGACCGCGGGATGTGAGCGTTTGTCTTTTCTAGATGCTTATTCAGGGTACCATCAGATCCGTCTGTATGGACCTGACGAGATCAAAACGGCTTTCATCACCCTATTTGGGTGCTTCTGTTATGTCACCATGCCCTTCGGCCTCAAGAATGCTAGAGCCACGTTCATAAGGATGATTCAGAAGTGTTTGCTCACTCAGATCAGTCGGAACGTAGAAGCATACATGGATGATATTGTGGTTAAGTCACGAAAAGGTTCCGACCTACTGACTGACCTTGCTGATAACCTTTGCTAACCTCAGGAGATATGATATCAAGCTCAATCCATCAAAATGCACATTCGGAGTTCCAGGTGAAAAGTTACTCGGTTTTCTCGTTTCCGAACGAGGAATCGACGCTAACCCCGAGAAAGTTGGCACCATACTCCGGATGAAGCGCCCCGTGCGTATACACGATGTCCAGAAGCTCACAGGTTGCTTGGCCGCTCTAAGTCGATTCATTTCTCGACTCGGTGAGAAAGCGTTGCCTCTTTACCGACTGATGAAGAAGTCTGACAAGTTCGAGTGGACTCCAGAAGCTGACGCGGCGTTTGCAGAACTCAAAGCTCTGCTCTCCACCCAGCCGGTGCTTGCTGCCCCAATCAGCAAAGAGCCTCTGCTGCTGTACATTGCAGCCATGGGACAAGTTGTCAGTACAGTACTCACGGTCGAGCGGGAAGAAGAAGGAAAGGCCTTCAGAGTTCAGCGCCCAGTCTATTATCTGTCTGAAGTTTTGACCCCTTCAAAACAAGGATACCCTCACTACCAGAAGCTTGTATATGGGATTTACATGACCACGAAGAAGGTTGCGCATTACTTCTCTGACCACTCCATTACAGTCATCAGCGACGCCCCATTGTCAGAGATTCTGCA